GGCCGTGGAGGACAGGCTGTTGTTGGCGTTGTAGGTCTGGGTGTTGTGATTGGAGGCATAGTTCATGAGATAACTGTTGTTACTGTTATTGTAGTGATTATTGCCATCATTTAAATGGCTTTTATTGCTGCTATTCATGCCATTCATGCCATTCATGTGGTTCTCAATGGTGGTCACCGTCGAGGCATCCCTTTCCCCATTGGCCGACCAATCGCTGCCCAAAAGCGGGTCCTTTTGTGACATTTATTACCACCACTTCTGCAGCACTACTCATAAACACATGAATCGTTTGACGTTTTGATGAAGATTTCTGACACTAATTATGAGTTTTACAATCAAATCATTATTTTATTTACATTTTCATTGATTTTTTCGATGAAACAACAAACACTCCGTTCACACACTATGTCTCACTGTTATGTCACAAATATTCATATATAATGTTACATTTAATTCCGTTTATTGACCCCCAAATTGTTCACTGATTATAAATATATAATGTAGTAGTCTGTAATACTGGTATACCCTTTGTAGCCACTCACCATTCAATTAACGTAACATATTATTTGAGTAACTATTTGATAAATTGGGTATTTATTTAAATTATTTAAATATCATTAAAATTAAATAAAAATTTGCAAAACCAAAAAAATGCTCATTTATTAATTATAAGTTAGAATTAATTGATTACAAAAACTAACTAAAAATATGAAGCAAACTAATGATAACCACAAAAATACTAATTTCCAAACAATACGATTGTAACGAACGTTATCTATGAACGGCTCGTAGCGTGTGTGTCACGCATGCGCTCATATGACTGTCACATGACTGCAGTGTATTTCCCTTTCCTTTTGGTTGAACACACGAGTGAACACTAAATAGTGGTTTCAAATCACCAACAATTCAATCACAATTACACCAACTCTTGGACAACGATGGTTGTGGTAAGTGTTGTCATCACCACCGATGTCTTGTCGCGTATATGGCGTGATAATGGCCGCACTCTATGACTAATACGTGATCTCATGTGTTGCAGAAACTGAAGGCCGCCGCCAAAGCGCACCCGAAGGGAAAGGGAGGCAAAGGAGGCAAACGAAAGAAGTTGCAGTTGATGCGTGATAATGGCCGCACTCTATGACTAATACGTGATCTCATGTGTTGCAGAAACTGAAGGCCGCCGCCAAAGCGCACCCGAAGGGAAAGGGAGGCAAAGGAGGCAAACGAAAGAAGTTGCAGTTGAAGTACTGGTTAGACTGTTCCCGACCTGTCGAGGACGGCATTATGAACGCCTCAGACTTCGTACGTCACCATCACTTCCCGCACCAGACGTACCACTTAACTATCACTTCATAGGCAACATGTGTGTTGAGAGCATTGTCACAGTCTTAAGACCCGTTTAAGCTTCCCGTTAACCCCCGCTGACCACACACTGGCCTATGATTTGATGGCGAAAGTGGTTGTTTCGGTGATAATTGAATGATTGATTGAGTGATGACTAAATGAGATGATGTGTAGACTTCATAAGCATTTTATGAAACGTTTTGCACACAAATGTCTGAACTGTTTGTCTGTATCTGAAGGAGACATACCTGAAGGAGCGGATCAAAGTGAACGGTAAGACACAGAACCTGTCGAATCTGGTGACTGTCGAGCGCACAAAGTCCAAGATATGTGTCACGAGTGACATCCCCTTCTCGAAGAGATATCTGAAGTATTTGACCAAAAAGTACCTCAAGAAGAATAATCTGAGGGATTGGCTGCGAGTGGTGTCCACCGCTAAAGACATCTATGAGTTGCGGTACTTCCAGATCAACAACGAGGAGGAGGACGACGAAGAGGATAATGAGTGAAGCAATCATTGGTCCGAATAAATGATCAGTTTTTTGTCACTTTAATAACTCTTTGTTTTGATTGAATTTGAAATAAAATTTAGTTTTTTTGTTTCAAATATGAATTATTTGTTTCATTTATTTGATTATAAATACTTTGTGCGAAGTTTTTGGTGATAATGGCTATTATAATATGTGATAACTGTGCCGTACATTAGACAATAAGCTCTATTACTGTAGTTTACAAGTAACAGTACCGGTAATATAAGTTATAAAAAGTGGTAATGATTAAGTATTAGATATTTGTTTAGAAAAATAAGTTAATTGAAAACCATTAGAAAATGTAGTGCTGAGGAGGTGTCAGACAATAGATGCCGGCGCCGATTGGATGATTCGATAGCCAGAGATGGTGGGCAATACCGGTGCTTTACTCCCGGTGCGATGCGTTGACGTGAACTTAAAGTGTCCACAAAGAGCGGTGCAACAGTACATCAATTTAATGGACAGACAGATGGCCACGAATATGATGACGAATATGTAGATCTTCTCCATCACTGTATTGAACACAATATGAATACAATTTATAGATATGTACTTTGAATTGAGTTAGGTCATTTTGTATACAACTTTATTGTTACTGTACCGGTATTCAATTAGAGATTGTCATATAAATGTGTTAAAAGATTTTAATATTTAGTGAAAAAGTATTTACATTTAAAATACTTTATGTGAAATACTTTTTATGTACAGTATTGATAACGCCAACAAATTAATCTTAATTTCATTTTTGTAGTTTACTTTATTATTTTATTGAGTCATCCCTAGTGAATCAATAACTGATCCAAATATTTCAAATCATCAAATATATTATTTAGTTTTAAAAACTTTAACATAATTATTTATAGTGTATAATGAAATATATGTATACCTCTTAAGAACTCGAAGTGGTCCACAAAATTATAAAATACCCTAATATTGCATAAAATATTACTAATACTGTACATTATATTAGTAATCTATTTGTCATTTTAATACTTTTAATTGAGTATCAAATCAAACAAAAGTGGACACTTATAACTTGTACAGAATGATTGAATTTATAAAACTATTTAATAACAAGTACTAAACATATGCATCAATTATACTGTTATATAATTCTTCAAACTTTAGAATAAATATACAAAGTATTGAATGTCTGTCTATTCAATAGTCTATTGAATTATTCAATTTGAATACAGTAATGATAGGCTATATCCTAGTTTACAATTTACTATTTTAATACTATATACAGCATTACGTTAGTTTATCGTTACTATTGATTTGAAGTAAATAGCAAATGTTCTCCAATAATATCCATAAAAAGTATTAGTATCCAAATCTAATTCCGTTTTCTTTGCCATTATTTTTTGGAAATTATAAATATTTTTATAAATGATGTCATTATGACATACAGTATCCATTATAGGATTTTTTGACATTTTACTATACAGTATATAAATGGACTAGATTAGTTATTGATTAGTTTATGATTTTATTAATTAAATGATTGATAAGAAAAATGGAAACATTGGTTACTTAAACAATAATAATAATTATCGCTAAATAGACTCAACATTTAATACAGTAACATTTATTTTCATCACAATTGTGAATATCAAAGTAGCCGTACTATAAAAATTATTAATCAGAAGTTAACACAATTAAATAATTAAAATTAAATGACTTTAAATTTGGGAAATAATTATAAGTTTTTATATCAGATGATGCAAATATTTTAAGTTTATAATTATAAACAATTAGAGAAATAAATGGTAAGCCAATTACTCAGTAATTCATATTATTTATTGAAAAAAACAAACATTGATTACATTTAACACATTATTAATACAATAATTTTGCCATAAATTGAGTGATTAATTAAAAAAACAATTTGCAAATAATTATAATGAATGAGTTTTGATTATATTGAAAACATATTCTGAATACAAATGAAATGAAGTTTTAATAATAATTATAATCATAATAATAGTCGAGTGATCGGCCAATGCTTCACATACTGAAGACCGGACTGATAGGAGGGTCGGGCCGGCGATGAGCGGACAAACCGTGTGTCTGTGCCATCAACACGTACATGAAGTACATCTTGAGCAACAAATAGCACCCATATATGATGGACAGGAAGAAGTAAATGATGATCATAAGGATCCACAATCCTTCGGACAGGAATAGAGACATAATTTGGGATCCAATCTACAAATGAGACATAATTTGAAAAAGTTAAAAATCTTATAAACACTGCATTTTACTTAATAAGAGTTATTTAAATAAATATTTGTTAAATAAAACAAGCTTTTAATTACCAGAGTTTAATCGCAATTAAATTCAAAGTAAATTGCAATTTCCAATCAAATAATACAAACACTTTTGAGTAATTTGACAACAAAAATGTGTTTTGATTCTCAACTCAAGTGAACCGGAAATCAAAAGTTTAGTGATTTTTATACCAAATATTTCACTTAATGATCACATGATTTCGGCTTTTATTCAAAGTGATGACCAGGCTACATTTCACAGTCAGGGGGCCTTGCATTGGTATAATGTTTTTTGAAGCATTTTGTTTCAGGGGGTATTTCAGTATATCCCCTGGATGCCCCATAGTCGGCACTGCTTTAATCTTTTACATTGAAATTATGAACTTTTTCTGTCTATTAATGTCTCCATAAGTGTGCAAAATATAAGTGAAAAATAAAATATCTTAAAATTAAATATTTAACTACAGTATTAAATAACTTATTTAAAATAACTACTGTAGTTAATTTAAAATAAAAATACATTACCATTTTTATATCAAGTTCATTATCATTTAAAAACAAATTTAATTAAATATAGAAAACAATGTGTGAGAAATCAAAATTTTTATTTGTTTATCAATAAATCACTGAATCATTTAATAAATCATTTAACGTAATTTAGTATTTAAATGACAATTAATGCAAAAAATTGTAGTTATCGTAAACACAAATATTAATTTTTTTTTAATTTTTTCATTTTATTGACAAATATTCATAAATTCACAGAAAATTATTTCTAAAGTATTTTATTTTATACAAAATTAATGACTTAATTGAGAGGAAAATTAAGACACTTTTAAACATTTACATCAACAATATTCATATATTCGTATAATTTAACACAAATTTCTATTTAATTACATGAAATGAATGACAAGTATAATGACATAAAAATCACAAAACTTTGCGAAACTTCAATGATTTAGTGGACAATGAATGCCACGAATCTAAACAAACTCCACATCAGGTCGCGGACGAGGGGGAGGTATGGGACGGCGATAGACACGGAAGTCAGGTGTCGGTGCGATCACCACTGCTTTCTTCTGGTGCATACACTCCGAGAGACACAATCCGTAACACATGCCGGCGCCGAACCCAAGTATAGCCGACAATAGGATAGTCAGCATAACGATGACAGTCAGCTCCAGACCACTCATAATCTGTAGTCAATCGGCAAATCATGTATTAGTCTCGTGTCATAACGTAAACCCATTTATGGTTCAAAATTAGTTTTAATTCAGAAATAATACTTTTAAATACATGTATGAGTTAAGTAACAGTCATTTGTTATATATTTATATTTATTTGATAGCATTTATACAATTAAAATCAATTAATGTTGTGCTTACCTGTAAATTGTTGTATTATTTGAGTTATTTGAGACAATTGCAAATAAATTGTTGTAATAATTAATATCTACTTTCTCTCAAAATGTGTTGTCTTTTGTGCCAAAAACAGTGAAAGCATTTGATTTTGAAGTGAAAAATATTACAGTTTTTGATCACATTATAACTTATAATTTATAAGACAGTCTTACAAAATACAACAAAATAAGTCTTAAAGTTTCTATTTTGTGGCATAGAATCTATACTATAGATAATAAAAAGTCATTAAAATAAAAAATTACAAACAAAAGTTATTAATTTAACAATAATTTAATAAAATCTAATTTATTTATATTTTAATTAAATAAAAGTTTGAATTCATGTACCGGTACATCAAAAATAATTTGTGAACAATATTTCAACATACATTTTTAATGTTATCCACAACTGTGTATAAAACCAAAATAATAAATTGAATTTAAATAAAACTTATTACAATATAGGAAATACATCTTATAATTCAAATTATCATTAATTCAGTTGTGGTCATCATATGAATCATCGATTATAATGATTTCTGGATCACAACTACTGACGTCCATATACTAGGAGCTAAGTATCTCGTCAATAAAACTGTCGTATTATTAATGAGATTAGCATTAAATATCACACTATTAGCCATTGTATCAATTGATTTGATCATTATTGAATTATTGATGTCTTGGACGTATTTTGCAGTCTATGAGTTCAAAAACTCAATTTAATGTGTATTTGGTATATAAAGCTAATGGTAATTATCGGTAAATTCTATAACATATACGGTAACACTGAAGTCCTCATAAAACATATGCTGTTA